TGGCCAGATCCATTATTCCCATACCCACACACTTGAAAACCACATTGGAACCCTGAGGTACCTCCAGTGGCGCTTCTCTACCTAATTTCCCATACAACTCACCAATTTCAATCAACTGTTCTTCCTTCATCTCTGCTAGAATCAACTCGCCCGACTCCTCCAAACACGCCTCCTTCAAGTCCACGTAGACTTTTCCTCCGCCAGAGAGCAATGTCTCCGTATCAATCTCTCGCATATGCAGCTTATACGATCCGATCAGCGAGATGAACCGTTGCCGGAACGGTTGTAAATATGAAGCCGGGAAATTCGGCTCTGTGGCAGGCGTACAACTGAACAAGACATCGCACGTCCGCAGTGCCGCCCGCAGCTTCTCATCCCAGACATCGTCGCCTACATAATCTTTTGCGACCGTCGAGATTGCAACGTCTGGGTACGTAGCCCGCAACTCCCCCAAGGCCTCTGTCTCCAACTCTTCCAGTCGTTTGCGACCACGGTTGAGGATGGTGATCGAACGCACTTGTCCTGGAAACAAGAGGAGAACTAAGCGAGCATGCCATTCCGCCTGGCGACCAGAGCCGAGAATGACTACGTTCTCCTTCCTCATGGCCTGGCAGCGAACGAGGAGGGACATGATGGTGAGGGCTGTGCGGAAAGCGGTGATTTTGGCGGCGCTCAAGAGACCCTGTAGACTACCTTCCGGCGAGAAAATGTTGATGACTCCGATGAGGCCATGAGACTGAGAGGCAGTGACGATCTTGATACCCGTGCTGGCGGTGTTGGAGACGGGCATGAAGAGAGAGAGGTTTTGTTTCTTCGTGAGAATGGTGCTACGGAGGGGCTGGTGGATGAGGCGTTCCGTTTCTGGGGCGGTCGATTCATTGGAGACTGCTGTGAGAGAGTCACAAAGAGTGTTGAGAAAGTCGTGGCATTGCGACTGAGTTAATTCGCGCAGGATCTGAGAGACATTGGGCTCGGCAAGGATACGCATTGTGAAATGGAATGATGACTGATAATCGATTGATGTCGGGAGGAGATTTTAAGAAGTATGGATGCAAGTATGTTGTCGAGTAACCAGACTCAGACTGAATTGAAAAAAATGTATCGATTTAGCGGCAGGCCAAAAGAGTTGGACTTTCTCTGGCTATTCATCTGTCTAAAGAACTAGAGATTCAGCGAGCATAGATGAGCGATGTCGGAGTTGTTGTTCGATTGAGGAGGGGTGGTTGGGCGTTGATGCATCGGAGGTGCCTTCCGGTCTTGGTGATATCTCAGATAACGCGGGGTAAGTTAACGCCGATACTAACTACTTGGTAGTTGGTAGTTTACTCTCAATCCGCTAGATAGTTTAACCTCAAGGCTCGTTTTCAGTCTTTCCCCCATGTATATTCTAGCAGAGAGCTATCTTTAGGTTCCACTCCCTGGCAATATGCCTCGCATTAGCGACTTTCTAGTTTCTCAATCATGTATACGCCGTGTCGTGATTCTCCGCGACGCCCCCAGATTTTGGTCGTATGAATCTCTCAATCAGGTCGATATCAACAGCTTATGCTTTCTGGGGTAAACCGACTACACCAATTGCCACCGGGAAACACCCTTGAAAAAGTCAATTGTGGCAGAAAGCGAAGGAGGCGAATCTTCCAGAGATTCGAGATATCTACTGTACCAGGCTTTCCCTGTTCTCAAACTCAAAATGGCCAGTGGCCTAGGATTGTCAGTCTTATCTTGGACTACAACAGATACACCAATAACTTACCCCCTGTGTGAGGCTCTATAGTTTATACAAGCACCATCCAGGACACTCCAGTACAGTTCTAGGTATCCTCTATCAGTATCCAGGTCACTGCCCGGTAGACGGGCCGGTGGTCGGAAGCCCCACCGGCGCAACAGCTGCAGGTTGACCGGCCCGGTCAAGCGAGGGAATGACACTCGTAAATATGCCAGCATCCATCTCTCTAAAGAGGGAGATCAGATAGCATGTTGTATAAGCCAAGAAATCAATGTCCACCGTGTCTTACTTCCCATGAGAAGATATACACTGGTCTTGGAGAGAGAAGGGGTAGTGCTGTAGTTGTAAACCTCATCTGTAAGAGCCGGCTTGTCATCGCCGGCTGCCCTGAAATCTCAGGCAACGAGATGAGAAAGTTCGACCATCGGCCCGGATGGCTCTAAGCTAAGCCTGGTCTAGTCTAGCGGGATATGAACAATGGGTCAAGCTTTGGCAGGCCAGGGACTGTTTCTCCAAACCATTAGGTAACATAAATTCCTCGTTGACAATAAACTACTTCACTAGAATCACTACCGTACCATGAGGTGGATTCATCAATGCGGAGTTTTGACCCCGGATTTCCACAGTGGAATGCCACGAGGTTGATCTGACATCAATTGATCGCTATCGCGAAAATGCAGCCTTTGTAGAAAATGTTTATACGTGCATAATATCTCCTGCCTCGTTATAGACTTCACAACGGAGTATAGATCAGATAGATCAGCCTGAGCATAGTGGCTGACTATCGCGCGCCATGATTGCATCAACCCGTCTCCGCCCCGAGAGAGATAAGCAGGAACTGGGTTTGATCACTCCCCCCCTCCCAAACTCTTTTGCCTTTTCATTCGTATAGCAAAAGAGCAAACCAGGAAGATAAGGTGCCCATCCCCACAAAACGCTCACCCCGGCCACATCTAGGCCAATCGCCACTTGCCTAGGGGCGTCATGCAGGCGATTTCTGGCTTAAACTTTGAGGTAAAATTATATTAGATGATAATTGATACTGATAAGCGCGGTCAAAATTGCCCTCTGGACATGTCGTGCTTCCCCCCGCTTCAGTAGCCATCTTATAAAATGGCCCTAGTCACCAGGCATTTGGTCTTCCAGGCATTCAAGTCGATCTTCCTGGCTAGCACATCATGGCCTCCGCTCCTACCTCCAAGTTTTCTGAGGAGGTCAAATATGAAGACAAATCTCCCAACGTCGACAACTATGAAGATCCAGAGGCGCTCAAGGGAGAGGTCCACCTGGGTCCCAACACGGAGACCCATCGTGGACTTTCCTCCCGTCAGCTTCAACTGATCGCCATCGGTGGATGTATTGGAACTGGTCTCTTCGTCGGGTCAGGCTCGACTCTTTCGACGGTCGGTCCAGCACCGCTTTTTATGGGATACTTGGCCATGTCGTCGGTTGTTTGGTTCGTGATGAATATGCTGGGTGAAATGACCACCTATCTTCCCATCAAAGGGGTCTCCGTGCCGTACATCATTGGCCGCTATACTGAGCCCAGTCTCGGTTTTGCTGCTGGTATGTTCTACATCCCCCAAGCTGTCTGGCTGATTGAGTGAGTGCTAATTGATCTCAGGCTATAATTACTGGTAAGTTTGTTACTTATCTTTGTCTCTTCGTACATGAAACTCATGATCGATTGCAGGTATTCATTTGCTATGTTACTGGCAAGTGAGGTAACGGCGGCGGGAATCATCATCGAATACTGGACCACTGCCGTCAACGTGGGCGTTTGGATTGCAATCGTTCTCATTGGTATAGTCTTGCCCTTACTATTAGACTTCCAAGTTAGTTTCCTCGTCTAACACTTGCTCAGTCATTTTGGTCCTCAATATTGTTGCTGTCTCTTGGTATGGAGAAGCTGAGTTCTGGTTTGCTGCTCTCAAGATCATCGCCATCATCGGTCTCATTATCCTGGGAATTGTCCTTTTCTTTGGAGGGGGTCCCAACCATGATCGGTTGGGCTTCCGCTACTGGCAGCACCCAGGCGCTTTCAAGCCGTACCTAGCCAGCGGAAACACCGGCCGCTTTTTGGCTTTCTGGACTGCGTTCATCAAGTCTGGTTTCTCCTTTATCTTCTCTCCCGAGTTGATTACCACGGCCGCTGGCGAGGTTGAAGCCCCCCGTCGCAACATTCCCAAGGCCACCAATCGTTTCATCTACCGGATCTTCACCTTTTATGTCCTGGGCTCCTTGGTCATCGGTGTTACTGTGGCCTACAATGATCCAGATCTCCTGTCTGCCGTGGCCAGCGGCAGCTCTACTGCTAGTGCCAGTCCATTTGTGATTGCCATTCAGAATGCAGGAATCTCAGGCCTGAACCATGTCATCAACGCAGCCATCCTGACTTCTGCCTGGTCGTCGGGCAACGCCTGGGTCTTCGCTGGGTCCAGAACGCTGTACTCGCTCGCTTGCGGTGGCCAGGCACCTCGAGTTTTTACCCGCTGCAATAAAAACGGTGTACCATGGGTGGCTGTCCTAGCTACTTGGGCCGTGGGGCTGTTGTCGTTCCTCAATCTGTCCAACTCAGGTGCAAATGTCTTCTACTGGTTCACCAACCTCACCACTGTCGGTGGGTTCATCAGCTGGATCTTGGTTGGCATTGCGTACTTGGTAAGTTCTTCGCAAACGCGACGAACATTCGATCAGATCTGTGCTAACGTGGACGCAGCGGTTTCGCAAGGCAATGGACTTCCATGGCATGCTCGACTCACTACCATTCAAAACTACCCTTCAGCCTTATGGTACATACTATGTGATTTTCATTGTGACCCTGCTGACCATCACCAATGGCTATGCTGTCTTCTTCCCTGGTAATTTCACGGCAGCGGATTTCTTAGTCTCTTACATCGGCATTGTCTTCTTCTTGGTCCTCTACGTTGGTCACAAGCTGTGGTATCGGACTCCGTGGATGACAAAGGTGTCAGAAGTCGATGTGTTCACTGGCAAGGACGAAATTGATCAACTCTGTGAAAACGACTTCGAGCGCAAGCCGCGCAACTGGCTGGAGCGGGTCTGGTGGTGGATTGCCTGAGGAGCATATCGGACTGTAGTAGTGAAAATATGAAGTGATTCTTCTGCGGGCAGAACGAGTTACTGTGAATTCAAGCTTGTGTATAATGTTGAGAAATAGAAATATCTGTTCATTGACATGTCAAAGCAGAGGACGAGGTAATGGCTATTCTAGTTGGAGCCAACCGGCATAAATTCACCAAACGCAGTGTCTGCCGCCTCTTTCCTGTTTTGTTTAAGCCAACGCTTCCTGTCTCGCGTTTCCCTACCACGCACCTTTACACTTTTCCTCCTCTCATCCACAATCTTGTGCTTTTGATACTCCATCAACTGAGGCACTTCTGCTTGTTGTATTTTTCGCGGCTGAAGCTCTGTCTCGACGCAGGTCACATCTCATCAGCCACCACGCCTCTCTTCGCGGTCTGACTCCAAGCCCATCAGCCAAGGTATCTCAATTAACAAGTTGATTATATCTCTAGGGTCTCGACCGTGGCTCTAGCACTACACCAATCTTCGTCACAGGTTTTTCAGAAACCGAATCTGTCAGACCTGGCTGTACAGCACTTGAACCTCGAACGAAAGGAGACTTCAACGCCATGGTCGAAATCGACGAGCCTGTTCTCCCCCGACGCCTTGACCATCAAGCCTTGTACAACAATGGCGTGAGTCGCATCGAATACAAGTCCGGACGCTGGGTGCATATCGCTAGCCCGGGGGGTCCACGCACTGGCCGCGCGCCGGACCGCACCGCCCTGGTGGTCGCAATCAGCGGCGACTGTCTGAGAAACCATGGGACCGGACGCGCATCGGTGGGTGTGTTCTGGGGATACGGCAATCAAAACAACGTCTCGACTGCCTTAGACGCGTACCCGGGCCCACGCACCAGGATTATGTCCGAGCTCAGCGCCTGTTGTCGGGCTTTGCGGGATGGTCTACGCATCTGCCAGGAACGTCCCAGCTGCACGCCGGTACAACGCCTGGTGGTAAAATCGGACTCGGAGCGTGTGGTGAGTGGGATTACGGAGTATATGCCGCACTGGATCACAAATGGGTGGCGGACCAACAATGGAGGAGAGGTGCCTTATGCCCGGTTCTACCTTGAGATCGGAGAGTTGATCGCGCAGCTTGAAAACGAGGGGACGGCGGTGGATTTCTGGTTTGTGTCACGGCGTCTGAATCCTGATGCTCGACGGATGGCGAGGAATGGCCTTCGTCGCGATCCTTGACCGGAATTGAGTTTCGTGCTGTCCGGGTGTATGGTCTGGGATGGTTGCTGTTTAAAGGAGGGACTTGAAGTCATGATAGGTGACACTATGGAAATCTGAGATGACTGGGTTATGCTTTCGCTGATCTGCTACTGAGAGACAGACCTGAGGTGTTGATTGATGGCGTGAGTGCAGGGTTCTGACGCTGTGGTCTTATCGAGCTTCAAGGTTTGTCTTATCGCTTTATGCGGGGGAAGACCCACTGGCGATCTGGGGAAATGAGCTTAAGCAATTCAAAGACGTTCAAGACTCTGAGATTCAAACTAGTCTACGTATCGATGTCATGGACTAAAGCAGTTTTTTTTAGTCAAGTAACCTTTCATCTAAATCGCTTTCATTCCTATGCGAAACTGCACGTTGGAAAGGATATCTGGGGCGGTTCTGGAAGGCGAGTGACCGGGCCGGTGACTTTGACCCACCCGGCATGTGCCGGTGTTCCTGATAGCTTGCGATGGCACTTGGTCTGATAACGTATCAATCTCTTACGCACACAGACAATCTGAACCCAATTTACCACGCACGCATTTCCGACTATTGTATTGATACTGGCTCCCCGGGCAGGAATCAGTCTCGTTCCGGTCGAAAGCCCCCTTGCATCGGCTGGATTTCCCATTGGCTGGTGCTGAGTCAGCCCACCGGCAGTAACCGCTTGTCCTCGCCTGCTCGCTTTCAATTAAAGCTTCGTGTTTCCCCGCGTCACCCCTGCTGTTGCTCTCCTTTTCTCCTCTCTCTTTTGTTGTGCTGTGTCGTCTTGCTTCAATCGCGAAAGAGAGCTTGTCATCATGCAGTCTTCCTTGCTCCTTCGCGCCCGGGGTCTCCCCAAATGCGCTTCCCTCTCCGCCAGCTTGGCTCGCCCGAGCTCTCGCGCCATGGGCTCCTACGCCACCTTCAAGGTTCCTCGCATTGACAACGAGCCTAACGTGAGTATTGGCGACAATTTGGTCGGTGTCGCTTTCGCTGATTTTACTGTCAAATAGAAACACTATGCCCCTGGATCCCCCGATCGTAAGGCTCTCGAGGAAGCTCTCGCCCGCACCAAGCAGAGCGGCCCTCTCAACGTGCCCTTGGTCATTGCCGGCAAAGAGATCCAGAGCTCCGAGACTTTGACCCAGAGCAACCCTGCCTCTCACTCCCCCGTGGCCACCTACGCCAATGCCTCCGTGGCTGATGTCCAGGCCGCCATTGACGCCGCCCTTGAAGCCCGCAAGACCTGGTCCACCACTTCCTTCGCCGACCGTGCCAGCATCTTCCTCAAGGCTGCTGACCTGATCTCCACCAAATACCGCTACGACATCATGGCCCTGACTATGCACGGTCAGGGCAAGAATGCTTGGCAGGCCGAGATTGACGCCGCTGCCGAGCTGTGCGATTTCTTCCGCTTCGGTGTCAAGTACGCCGAGGAGCTCTACGCCACCCAGCCCGTCCATCACTCCCCTGGTGTCTGGAAGTGAGTGAATCATGCCCGGGTCCGTAAAGGGTCAAGCTAATCAATTGTTGCAGCCGTGTTGAGTACCGCCCTCTGGAGGGTTTCGTCTATGCTATCAGCCCCTTCAACTTCACTGCCATTGGCGGTAACCTTGCTGGTGCCCCGGCCCTGATGGGTAATGTCGTTGTCTGGAAGCCGTCTCCATCGGCCATCGCCTCCAACTGGCTCGTCCACCAGATCCTCCTTGAGGCTGGTCTGCCCAAGAACGTCATCCAGTTCGTTCCGGGAGACGCCGCCGAGGTGACCAACACTGTCCTCAACCACCGCGAGTTCTCTGCTCTTCACTTCACCGGTAGCACCTCGGTCTTCCGCAGCCTGTACGGCCAGATCGCCAACGGTGTCGCCGAGGGCAAGTACCGCAGCTACCCCCGCATTGTTGGTGAGACCGGTGGTAAGAACTTCCACCTGGTCCACAAGTCGGCCGACGTGCGCAACGCCGCTGTGCAGACCGTCCGTGGTGCTTTCGAGTTCCAGGGCCAGAAGTGCAGTGCCACTTCCCGTGCCTACGTCGCCGAGTCCGTCGCCGACGAGTTCCTCTCGGTCGTGGCTGCCGAGACCAAGGCCTTGACCATGGGCGAGCCCACCACTTTCACCAACTTCTGCGGCCCTGTTATCCACGAGGCGTCGTTCAATAAGCTGGCGCAGGTGATCGACGAGGCTAAGAACGATCCCGAGCTGGAGCTGTTGGCCGGTGGCACCTACGACTCGTCCAAGGGCTGGTACATCCAACCCACCGTCTACCGCACCTCCAACCCCGACCACCCTCTGCTGTCTCGCGAGCTGTTCGGACCCGTGCTCGTGATCCACACCTACGCCGACCAAACCGAGGCCGACTTCACCCGCATGTGCGAGAAGATCGACCAGACCGGCGAGTACGCGCTGACCGGATCCATTTTCGCCCAGGACCGCGAGGTCCTGCGTGCGGCGGACGATGCTCTGCGCAACACCGCTGGTAACTTCTACATCAACTGCAAGAGCACCGGTGCTGTTGTGGGCCAGCAGCCCTTCGGCGGTGCGCGTGCCAGTGGTACCAACGACAAGGCGGGCAGCGGCAACCTGTTGTCTCGGTTCGTGAGTCTGCGGTCGATCAAGGAGGAGTTCGTTCCCACCTACAAGGTTGCTTACCCCAGCAACGCTTAATGACGCTACGATGATTGTTGTATATGTTCCATGTTCGGTATAGGTTGCATAGTTCAGGCGTTCGGTAAAATATATCCATGTTCCACCTTATTCCATGTGCAAGTAAACCTCGCGTAGTATCTTCTCTTCATAATCCCTTCCCTCTACTATACATACAGATTATTCCCGCAAACCCTCCCCCAACCCTCCAGCTTGATACTCAAAAAGACCTCAAGAAGAAGAAGAACACCTCTCCACAAACCGGCGCATACTCTCCCACCCCTCCCGCGCATACCCCTTCAACTCCACCTCCCTCCTCTTCCCATCGAAGACCTCCATCGAGAACCACCCCCTAAACCCAGTCCCCAACACCGCCCTCCCCACCTCCTCGATCGGCAAATACCCGCCCGCCGTATACGGCAACGGCCGGTAATCATGGCTCCAGCGCGCGCGGGGCCGCATGCCCTCCACCACAGCGTCCTCGAGGGGCGGCTCCGCCCGGTACGCGTCCGACACCTGCAGCAGGTAGATCTTGTCGGCGGGGATGGTCCGGGCGAGGCGCGCCAGACTCGCCGAGAACTTCTCGGCTGTGGAGAGGTTGGCCTTGCCGTGGGTGGTGGGGACCAGGCCGTCGGCCGCGGTGGGGTCGGCGTACTCGGCCCCCGCGGTCTGGAAGGTGTCGAGGCACAGGCCGATGTTGGGCCGGTTTACTGTCTTGATGAGGTCGTAGACCGAGGCCCAGTCCGGGCTGTGGCTGGACCAGCACCAGTTCTCGTAGGCCAGGCGCATGCTGTGCGTGGCGAGGAGGTCGCTGAGTTCGCGCAGGTCGTGCACGATGCGCTCGTGCAGGCTGGGGTGCGTGGCGAGGGAGGCGAGGGGCGTGTCTGTTGATCCGACCTTTGGTGGTGTTTGTTAGTGGTGTTGTGTGGTGGTGGGTCTTCTTCCATCCATGATGTGTGCAGATATTGGGGGAGGGGAGTGGGTGTGTTTGTTGGTTGGTTGGTTGGTGTAGGAGTTGTGTACTGTATGTGTCGATATAAGGGCAGGGGGGAGGAGCTCTATGCATGGTTTAGTGCAGTGCAATCGCAGCATACCTGTAGCATATCACACTCCAGCACCTTCATCAAACTGATCCATCCCCTCGCCCGCTTGAATGCGTCTTCTCGTTCCTTTGATCCCTCCGGCCATCCTTCGAAATTGGCGAAGGGCTGCAGCATCATCACCTTCACGTTCAACCGATCACAGACCCCCCGGATCTCCTTGGCCACCTCCCGCAGCGCCTCGTAGTCGTCCTCAGCAACCTCCTTCCCTCGAATCTCCTTCGCATAAGACAGAATATCCGGAAAGGCGAGCTCCACCGCATGGAATCCCGCTTCAGACAGTGCCTCCAGCTTAACGGGGAGGCTGTCAGTCGGCTTCCCGATCGAACACGTCGCAAAAGAGAAAGGGATATCGTGTGCCATAATTTTTATCCTAAATTCGGTCAAACTCAATTTCGGGATGGATACCAAAATCAAATGATGGTGGGTGGTCAGATATATCTACATGCTAACAGAATCAGGATGATGTCAATTAGAGTAATTTAGGGCTGATAAGATCCGGATGGCGGAATGATGTAACCGCTGCGTCGACCCCATCGTCTCACCACCTTTAAAAAACACCAGCATCGCAGCCCATGTAAAGTCCAACAGAAACCACAATTGATCCTTGACTATCGGCATCATGTTCTCCAAAATCGGCATCGTCGGGGCCGGCAACATGGGTTCCATGATGGCTTTCGCCTTCAACGAGCTCGGTCTGGACGTCTCCATCTGGGACGTCAGCCGTGACAACGTCGACGGCATCCGTCAATGGATCGACCAAGGAAAATTCACCGGGAAGGGCAAGATCCAAGCTTTTGACGAGGTCGATCAATTCACCAAAAGTCTTGGCCAAGACCAGAAGCTTTTCATCTTTTCCATCACCCACGGCGACCCCGCCGACTCTGTCCTCGACAAGATCCAGGACAGCCTGCAGAAAGGCGACATCATCCTCGACGGCGGCAACGAGCACTATCGTCGCACCGAGCAGCGTCAGAAGCGCTGCGCTGAGCGCGGAATCCACTGGATCGGAATGGGCGTCTCTGGGGGATACCAATCTGCCCGCCATGGCCCGAGTTTATCCCCCGGCGGCGACCCAGACGCCATCAACCTCGTTCTCCCGCTCCTTGAGAAATACGCCGCCAAAGACCCAAAGACCAAGAAGCCCTGTGTCACCAACGTGGGACCAGCGGGGTCGGGCCATTTCGTCAAGATGGTCCACAACGGGATCGAAGGCGGTATGCTGTCCACGGTTGCCGAGGCCTGGTCGCTGCTGCACCATGGACTCGGCCTCCAGTATGAGGAGATTGCGGACATCTTCGAGCAGTGGAATTCCGAAGGGGAACTGCGTAACAACTTCCTCCTGGACATCGGCGTCCAGATTCTCCGTACGAAGAAGACTCCGAAAGGGGATAAGCAAGGTGAAGGCGCCAGCAAAGATGGTGGATTCGTCCTCGACGATGTCCTCGACAAGGTGGTGCAGGATGACGATGACACCGAGGGCACCCCCTACTGGTCCGTCATGGAGTCGGCCGCCCGCCACGTTTCAGCCCCAACGCTGGCCACCGCGCATTTCCTACGGATTGCCAGTGGAAACCGCGCAGAGCGCTTGGAGGTCGCCGAGAAGCTGGACCTTCCCAAGCCCAAACCCCTCGAGGGCATCAAAGACAAGAAGGCGTGCATTGAGAAGATTCGCAGAGCGGTATACAGCGCCTTCCTGGCCTCGTTCTGTCAGGGTCTCGAGCTGATCGCTCGTGCCTCCAAGGACGAGGGCTGGAACGTGGATCTGAGCAAGTGTCTCCAGATCTGGCGCAACGGCTGTATCATCCAGTCTGAGGCAATCGCCGACTTGTTGCAGCCAGCCATGACCGAGTCCCTCACCAACGTTAAGTGCGTGGACGCAGTGGCGCGAGAGTTACACAAGCATTTCGACGCCTTGAAAGACACGGTGCTCGCGTCAACAGTAGCCGATCACTATACGCCGGCTCTCTCGGCGACGTTGGAGTACCTCAAGTACGAGGCTGGAACCATGCTTCCGACGAAGTTCATGGAGGCCCAGATGGACCTTTTCGGTGCGCATGGATACAACAAGCCTGGAGTGAAGGGCGAGGACCCAGGACCGGTTTCCAAGGGAGCTCACCACTATGAGTGGCGCCCTGCTTGAGTGATGAGCATTTAAATGATCTAGATGATAATGATAGCGTGATGCACATATGTATTGAGCACAGTCAATTATGAATCATACCACCATCGAGTTTCTTTTCAGTAGACTATGTAAAGTCCTTCTTGATTATCTACCCTACAATGACGTGGTAGCCCATCTAGTCCTGCCTCAGGCACCACAAAGGTACTCCCAGACCTCGGGACAGGTTCAGGCACTCAGGCACCGACCGATAAGATCGCGGTTTCCCGATTGGGAGTAATACCCCGCCGAGAATTTTAGGCGTCTCCGAGTCCCTCTGCCCTCTTCCTCTTCTTCTTCTCCTCCTCCTTCTGTACAACCACTCATTCCGACCTTGTATGCTGTCTACTTTCTGGCGCCATTTCTCTTCTATCTCCAAACCTCGCATTCGCATCGAATCCCCCAGACAACTAGCCCGCAGAATGGCCGCCCTTCCCACCACCTACGACGGTAAGCAGTAATTCCCCTCCCCTCCTCTGACCATCTCACCTGCAAGCAATCACTGACAACCTCTAGAGCCCGTCCGCATTGCCGTCATCGGCGGTACCGGCTTGCGCGAACTTCCTGGCTTCACCCAGGTCGCCTCCCTCAACGTCAGCACTCCCTGGGGCAATCCCTCCTCCCCCATCACCATCCTACACCACCAGTGCTCCCACAACAACAAGACCGTTGCCATTGCCTTCCTCAGCCGCCACGGCGCCCACCACCAGATCGCTCCCCATGAAGTGCCCGCTCGCGCCAACATCGCTGCCCTGCGCTCCATCGGTGTCCGCACCATCATCGCCTTCTCCGCCGTCGGTAGCTTGCAAGAGGCCATCAAGCCCCGCGATTTCGTCATCCCCGACCAGGTCATTGACCGTACCAAGGGCATCCGTCCCTTTACTTTCTTCGAGGGTGGCGTCGTCGCCCACGTGCCTTTCGGCGACCCCTTCGACGAGGGTGTCGCCAAGGTCGTGAGAGCCTGCGGACACAGCTTGGAGGGTGAGGGAGTCGTTCTGCACGACCGGGGTACCCTGATCTGCATGGGTATGTATGCATCTTCCAAAGTTTAACCGCAGAAGCTAATCAATCATCTGCAGAGGGTCCTCAATTCTCGACCCGCGCCGAGAGCAACATGTACCGCTCCTTTGGTGGCAGCGTCATCAACATGTCCGCCCTGCCTGAGGCCAAGCTGGCCCGTGAGGCCGAGATCGCCTACCAGATGATCTGCATGTCCACCGACTATGACTGCTGGCATGAGTCGACTGCGGACGTGACCGTGGAGATGGTGATGGGCCACATGAAGGCCAACGCTGAGAACGCTAAGCGCTTTGTCACAGCTGTGCTGGACGCCTTGGCTTCCGACGAGCACGCCGAGCTGGTGCAGGCCAAGCACGTTGAGGGCTCCATCAAGTTCGGGCTCAGCACTGCTCAGCCCAACTGGAGCCCCGAGGCTCGTGAGCGCATGAACTGGCTCTTCCCCGGTTACTTCAACTAGATTTTGATGAGTGATAGATAGATATCTATAGGAATGAATTTATGATGATAGACCTCAAGATGCTTTTAGAATCAGATGTCTCTCGGTCACTGACAAAGATGACTTACTGACAGCTTAGATGTGGGCTCGTGGGGAGGGGCTCATTCACTGTGAGCAGTGAAGGGGGTAAGGTTGCTAGGGAATCACTCGCTATAAACAGCAGTTTGTTTACCATAAATTTAGATTATCAACTATCTACCTTTCGTGCCTGGCTGTCAATCATATCTAACTTACCTTGCCACTATGAGCAGCACAATGGAGTCCTCTTATAAGGTGATCGATCCCAATGGGGATGTGCTGCTTGTACTGCAGGAACAGGCAGGTCGGATCTATGCAAACCTGGTCAAAACTGGTGGGACCTTTTCTCCCCCTGCTGCTTCTCACCCCTAACGTATCTTTCGTTCTAGACGGGCTGCCTCTAGATCAGTCGGATACAACATCTGACCTTACCCAGAAGCCTCAGCAATTCGTTGCTTCTCAATGCAGCTCCTCAGAACGCCAAAGCAGAACCGTTCAACATCCTACCCTGCAATCTTACCGACCTCAACGCCGTCTACATCCTCCTCAACATCCTGCATTGCCGCACTCGTCAAGTGCCCCGTGATTTGGACCTGAACCTCCTTTGCATGGTAGCAGGGTTGACCCAGCACTACGATTGCCTCGAAGCTTGGCTCGAGAATATCCAGGACTGCTTTCCAACAGCTTGCTCGCATGATCGACCCCAGTGGATGTTCATTGCATGGGCGTTTCGCCATCATGGCTTGTTTCGCCTGGTTACTTAAATTGCACCGAGGGACTCTACGGAGCCAATAAGGACAAAAGGTCTGGCAATTCCTGCAGGCCTGATAAGTGAGTTCGCCATGATTTATAATAACCCTTCATGCAGGGAAGGACAGGCAGACTAACCTATGCAATTCGTCAGACCTCATCAACAAACCCCGTCAGTATCGCATCGAAGAGATTCTCATATCTCTGTATGAGCGTATGGAATACCTTCTCGATCATGAGTCGTGCTGTTCCGACTGCGATCAGCTGATGGTCGGGACACTCATCTATCAGTGGAAGCCGCGCAAGCTATTTCCTCCACCACAGGCTTCATACAAAGGACTTAGTCTGAATGCGGTGCTCAAGACAGTCAATGAGTTGAAAGAGTCCCGGTGCAAGGAATTGGTTCACGGCAGGGTCGGATGCTCAGGGGCAAAGTGTTGGCTGATTCCGGAGACGCGGACCCTACTAAAAAGGATTGATGCAGAGATCGTGGGCTTGCGATTGGGAGATTACTTGGTTGACTGACTGGCAGCTACTGGCTTAGTGGTGGTGAAGGTCACTGCCACTGATTAGCGTTGGATGGAGTAAAAATAGCCGGCCAGGCTCGCTGATTGATCCAGGCACGCTGCCTGCTGTTCGTTCCCCTGTCGATCCTCCGCTTTCCCACCCATCGCCTGCCTTCCTCTGTCGGCTATCCGAGATAAGGATCATCGTCAAGCGTTGGACTAACTTGGTCACTCTGCAGGTTCGTTGGATCATAATTCGCTTGTGCCCTTCAAAAAGGTTGCATTGTCTCTACACTTCCTGCACACGTTGTTGACAATACATTCTTCAACAGTGATCCAATGTATCTCTAGATCACAAGCAGTGCAACCTCATATATTTCCGGGCTGTCATGCATGCGCAGGTTTTATCAGTCTAATTGTCAATTCATCTATTTGTCTCTTGATAAAGGTACATCAGCTGAACGCCCC